CCCCAGGGGAGGACATCCATCACACAGTAATCTCGTGTGTGGGAAATTAACGTCTCCTACCCAAATCCTGCAGGAGATGGGACCTCCATTTATTCGTCCCTATCCGAGAAGACTTGAATATCTAACCATTTCTTGATGTTATAGAAAGGTAGCAAATTCTTCTCAGTTATTTTAAGACCCTGAGTGTTGGTCTGGCCGGGGCTCGAACCCTCGACCTCCCGCACAACAGTCCAGCGCTCTATCCATTGAGCTAACCAGGAGGTGGTTAAGTAAAATACAAGTGAACTGCTGTCTCTCTTCTAGGGATGGTGGGACCCTGGGATATACAAGCCTTACGGCTATCGTAGACGTTAGACAACTCAGTGTTAGATCAAATACAACTACCAAATTGCAGGGCTGGCAAATCTGCTAAGAAAAGGCTACTAATGAACTTTTCAAGAACTCAAAGAAGCCAGCTGTGATGAAATTGCAACATTCCACACTCAGAAAGGCCACTATACCTGTGTTAAATTGTCTCACTTAATAAATAAATGCAGTTGGATCAGTATATTTAGTAAAATGAATATAATGATAATTATATATAAATGTATGATATCAATGAATAATGATATTTCAACCAGCTGTCCATAGTAACTAAAATTGAAAGTGGATGCCTGAGACACCAGCTTTACAATGTCTTTACAGTGACCAATCTACAATTATATCAACTCAGTTGATAAAACCAAATTATTGTGTTATAGTACATCCCACCAATGCAGCACCACAGTTTTGTAAGAATTTCCCCCTCTAAGTTAGTGAAAGTCAATGATGTTAAAAGTATTAGATTATTGTTTTGGAAATAATGATTAAGAATCATAAGTTGGAGCTTTTCCAGATTCAAGGAAGACAATAATTTGGCCCTCTAGAAGGTTACCACAGTAGATCTATCATGTAGAACTTACTCTATCCCTTGAATACCCATCTTCAGATAGATCATTATTTGGTGAATGTGCTCTGTGTTGGGCAGAGCTTCCTTCTGAGCTCTTCCCGTGTGAACCACCTTTCTTCTGGATATTGTCCATGCGTGAGTTCTTCAAAATTTGATGTTTACATCACCTTCAGCACTACAAACTATGTTAACAAAATATATCTATAAGTACATATTACTGTTATGAAAAAAAATGCATGAAAATGTCATTTATCTTGAGTTAATGAAGTTATATGCATAACACAAACTTAAATGTAGGAGCCATCACCGCGATCATACACATTTTTTTGGCCAAGCACATTTTGGAAACTGAGTGAATATTTTGGGTGGATGAACAACCACTGGGAGTGAGACACCTGAGAAAAATGCATAGACAGACAGACATCTATATTTATACAGGATAGCCCCTTCAGTGTAGTAAACACTGGTATCAACGGGGGTCCTGTTACCCACCCAACCCACCCCAGGGGAGGACATCCATCACACAGTAATCTCGTGCGTGGGAAATTAACGTCTCCTGCCCCTAACCCTGCAGGAGACGGGACCTCCATTTATTCGTCCCTATCCGAGAAGACTAGAATATCTAACCATTTCTTGATGTTAAAGAAAGGAAGCATATTCTTCTCAGTTAATTTTAGGACCCTGAGTGTTGGTCCGGCCGGTATTGAACTCTCGACCTCCCACACAGCAGTCCGGCGCTCTCCCAATTGAGCTAACCAGGCGGCACTTGTCAAGAAAATAACATACCGGTCAATTGTTTCCTTATCATTGGATACTATCCACAAAAATTTGCCAACTGCTACAAAACATTAGGACCAAAATCATTACGTTTGAAAATACACGAATTTTCTTTAAATTTTGACTTATTTTCTGAGAGATTTTCAAAATAACTAGAGCCCTCATTAAGTCGAATTACTTTAAATGGCTTAGTATCGAGGTTTTTCACATCTATACACATTTAAATGTTGCATTTCTCAAAGAGAAATAGTTAATGTCACTCCCTCCTTCAAACAAAACATCTACATACACAACTTTAGACTGTTTCGTAGCCTGAAAATTAGGTTAGCAATCAAAAGGCAAGAGTTAAGATAAAATGTTCACGAAGGGAAAAATCGGAGACAGTTTTCTCACCGGAGTTATATTGTTCCAGGAATTCTCATGGAGTTTTCTCGGCCATATTGGATATTTGGGAACAGCTTAGCCTCGGTTTGGAATAAGGGTCTTGAAGAGTCTTGAAGAGTCTGGGTATGAATGACATCAGAGATATATCTGCTTAACTTTTTCGGTCACGCGAAGTGAAAATTACTTGCAAATGTTTAAGATAGATTAAGAGAGAAAAATTAAATAAACTGGGAAATGTTTGCGTTTATGAAAATTGTTGTAAAAATATCTGAAAATTTTCAAGGTGATTTCTTTAAAATTAAAAAACTCTGTTTGTACGTCATCAGCGGCAAGCCCTTTTAGGACTGGGCATGACGTTTCGGCACGAAATCGAGGTTGGATTCTCGACGATGGCGACAGCTGAGACGCGAACAGTGAGTATTTCCTTCGAATTTTGTTCTAATTTAACAACAAAAAGATTATGTGTTCTGTTGAAGAGTGGTCAGAATATTAAATTAAGGATTGCTCCAAATTTTGGTCAAAGATTTTCCCTGTTTTGTTCTGGTTCGTGAACAAATTCTTTTTCGAGAAAATTTTGGTCTTCTGAACAATAGAAATTGACATGAAAACAGAAGCTTCCAAACCAAGCAACACCCAAAAGACCATTCGTATTGATGGCAAGTTAGCAGAAAAGTTGCTCTTGTTTAGTGTCAAATTAATAGAAATTGGTCTTAACGTATTTTGAGGTTGTTCAGGAATTGTTGTAAAACATCTGTCTAATAGCATACATGAGTTCGCTTAGAGTATTTGTTTACATAATTTCGGTTTTGAAATAATGTTTAAGGAAACGGTTTTACAAACTTCTTCAAGGAATCGTAGTTCAACTGAACGAAGACGTTATTGTTGAAAAGTATTTGAAAACTTCAGTTGATGTTGAAAAGAAACTTTAAAACGTGACGGGAGCTTAAGTGAATGGTACTTTAGACAGAACTAAACTGAACACATTATTTTCTGGACCACATTCATTGAAAAAAAAAAGCGATCGTGCCATTTCTGTTTCTTTAATTTGGATAATTCTAACTCTTAACCTATTCTCCTTTCTCCCTCTAATTATTAAATACCTGGAACTTGCTAGTGGATGTTTATTTTTTTAATGTCCTTGCAACATACACGTTAACACGAAATTGCATTTTCGTCTTGCGTAAAAGAACATGAATGTGGATCAATTAAGTGTCATAATGGTTTTACTGCTTGTTGGATTGTTATTGTTTTATTTCTATTTCAAATATGTATGTGTGGAAAGTATTTTTTCTTTGAGTAAAAAGAATATTTCCATAGATCTTGAAATATCTTTGATAATTTACAATGTAGTGTTGATCCTTACTCATATAAAACTTGAGTACAATACTGTCTTTTTTAGAAACTCTAATGCATTGTTTTAATGTGTTGATAATCATATGCATTGACTTAAAGGAACAATGATCTTTTAAACATGCCTCTTAGTTGGTAATTTTTCCCTTAAGCAAAAGGTATGTTCATGTATCTGGATATTGCTTTGCACACTCTTTGTCCATGTGTAAATATTGAAATGTCTGTTAATTTATTGTTGAACCCAGCAAATTACACTCAAAAACTGAAGACAATTGATAGAAAACTCAATTATGATTGTGTGGTTGTAGCTTAAGAAAATGAGACTTGCTATAGACAATACCTTTCATTTATGCTTAATTTTGTTTGAAATTTTTAGGAAGAAAAGGTCACACAAGAAAAACCAGGTTAGTGACTCAGACCATTCAATAAATGTTGTGGTAAACTTTTTGCTTTTTGTTATTAAATGACTTGGTTTATTAGATTTATAAGGGGCAAGCTTGGTAAAAAAATATAATTAGGCTTACAAAGGGTTGATGAAAATATTATATTTAGTTTTGATACTTCTTAAGCAGTTTCTTGTTCATATTAAGTTCTTTTAGCTGTGCCTTTCAGTCAGATTTTTACCTAACTTGGATTTTAATCTGGGATTTTTTAAAAGTACACTGAATATCAAGAAAACTCCCGGAAAATGTCTTTTTACACTCAACAATTTCCTTTCATAGTTTACCATATTTCTGTGGCAGCCATCGTTTTATACATTTTAAATTGACCTTATCTCTTAGTTACTAATGTTTAGACAAAAATAAACCATGTAGTATTTATCTTCAATTACTAAAATGATAGATACTGTCCAAATTCTGCCTATTAAATATGAAATTAGTATTTCTAAAATACTATGTTGTTAACATGCCCAATACTTGACTTCTGTTTTTATATGAATTAATTCATTAGTTTAGAGGAAGTCAATCAGACATATCTATGCTATACTGTTATGTTAATCCTATTGAAGTAGCTTTAGAACTTAATGCTCTGCCATTGTTTTTTGTACTTCCTGGGTAATAATCTTATCTTGCCTGATGCAAAATCAATGACAGTCATATGACTGCTCCTCCCCATGTGAATTTGCTACTTTGTGTATTCATATTCACTAGAGAATGAGGAGGAAGAGCCAGTAATTTAGAGAGTCACCAAAATTTCTTTGGATAAATTTGGTGATGTCCTGTGTTGCGCAGCAGCCAGTCGTGTAATACATAATGTATTTCACTTGAAACTAATACCCAGTTTAGCTACATGTAAGTAATGAACTGTTATTCCAACTTTAGGAAGTCAAGACTGTATCAAAGTATACACAAATATTTGATTCAATTTTTTATTACAAAGTCATATATTTTGAAAACAGTCAATCTCTCACTGCTATTATAAATTCTTAATGATACTTGATCCATATGAAAATTATCCTTTTCAAATGTAGTTCACATAGTAATGAAGATGTAAATGTTAAAGTACAAGATGCATGTCAGGTCAAAATGATTTTTAACAAATTAATTCAAGTAAACTTCCT